GCACAGGGAACCTGTTCCCTGGGCGCTCCGGCTCCTCCACGCAGCAGCTTCACGGGAGGCAAATCCCAGAGCTGGCGGGTGAGGAGGCAACGCGGGGATTAATTCGAACTGTTCTCTTTGTGAAAGCTCATATATTTGTTGGTTTTTCCTTTACATCTAACCGCATGGTGCATCTAAGCAGAAGATTAACGGCTTTAATAAAATGCAACAAGATGTTCCCTTATTCCAGGAATCAAGGAAAACAAAGTGACTAACAGGCACGCGAAGCATCCGACCCGCGGCCACCAGCTTGCTATTAGCCTAGGGTAATGCAGCAGGTGCCATTAAAAAGGCCCATCCTGAGGTGACAGGAGGAGGTGCCAAGTTTGAGAAGGACCTGAATTCAAGTTTTATGTTAAGCAAAGACTTAGCAGCTGAATTTACATCCCCTTCTGCATTTGGGGGTTCCAGTTAAATTCCCTTTCAGGCTACCCACACGCCAGCGCCTGGGAGTCAGAAGGAAACGAAATGAGCCCTTTAGGGAACATCAGTCGTCCCCTTCTGCATTTGGGGGTACCAGTTAAATTCCCTTTCAGGCTGCCCACCAGCCAGCGCCTGGGAGCCAGAAGGAAATGAAATGAGCCCTTTAGGGAACATCAGTCCTTGTGGCTAACCCTACCTAGCATCACTTCAGCTATGAATCCCCCGATACCGACATCCCCTCCCGCGCTGCCGAGGCCGTGGGGCTCCTTGCACGGGTCGCGGTGGCCGCGGTAGCCACCAGCCCGGCCTCGACTGCCGACCAGCTGCTGCCAAGGTGCCACCAAGACCCCTTTCCAGCTGGTTTTCCTCTCCAGAAGGATCCCAACTTCACAGACCAGGGGCCTACAGAGCAGGCTAAAGCCCCTCAGCACTAGCAAACATCAGAGCTTTTGCAAACACCATCAAAAGGTCAAGATGAGAGAGAATATAAACCTTCTTACCCGCAAAGCTTTAGAAGCAGAAAGCTGTGCAAGGCTCCTTGAACCAGGCAGGCTGATAGAGTAGAACATGCTCTTTAAAGGGAGTTGATATCAGGACATAATCCTGAGACTTCTGAAGCAGAAGATTGCTGATAACTAACTGCCTAGGCAAAATGACTCCCCAAAGGGAGAGCGCACAGATAAATTCACAGTCACAAATCCCATTTACTTGTGCTCCCCTATCCCGCACTTCATCATTCAGTGCCAGCACTAGTTAAGCAAGGAGCAGGGAGCTAAACCACCAACATCGGGTTTTTTCCCCCTTTTTCTTGCTGCCATGTGACTTGTGCAATTAGTTGTCCTGCCGTTGGGCTTGTCCGGAGCAGCGATAGCAGGATGAGGCCAGGTGCACAGCAGGGCGCAGAGTCAGGTTGAAAAAGTACCCAAAATCTCCCACTTGTAGTTTACCCTCCCTTTGATTTCCTCAATCATTTTTTGCCTTTTTTTTTTTTCCTGTTGTTTTTTTTTTTGTTTGTTTTTTTGACGTGTTCTCCCAGGTTTGATGGGTTTTTGTCTTTCAGATCTGCAAGGAAGGGTAGGAAATAGCGGGCCCCGAGATGGCGCTGAGGAAGAACCCGACACAAATTTGCTGCATTCCTTAAATTCAAACCCATACGAGCCTGACTTGCCAGATAATTTAGTCCCATAACCGTGTAGCAGATAGGAGAGATAAAAGTTCTGGAAAAAAAAAAAATCCCTCTGAAATTAGGCCTCACAAAGAAACGGCTTCTCTTCAGTAATGACTTGTTTTCTTTGAAAGTTCATCCGCAGGTCGGCCAAGTTTTAAACTGTAAAATTATATTGCCGCCTTAGCCGAGAACGGGAGATGGAGAAAAGCGCGGATTAGAGGGGGATCTTTCGCGAATCCCTTATCTGGTTTCTTGCCCTGAAAGGTCCGTGCGCTTTGGAGCGGCGGGAGCCTTTGGAGCGGGAGGGAAGGGATGGCCACGGCGCGAGCGCGTGGGCCCTCCCCGTCCACGAGCGCTGGCAGGGGCTCGGGTTCAACCAGTGACACCAGCAAGGAGGTGCAAGCAGAAGAGCCAAATTCCCACAGCGGTTGCGATGGCGGCTCGAAGCGTTTCGCGGTCAGGAGGGTGTTATTGCTAGCCCCGGAGCCCTCAGAGCTGGGAGCACAAAGAAAACAAACCCTTCTTACTCCTTTTGGATGCATAGTTCCGCGCAGATAAACCCAACAAAACCGCTGTTCCAATGCAAACATCATCCTTTCGCATGGAATAGACCTCCAGGTTTGATAACAAACAGGTGGGAGGATTTGGGAGGCGTTAAATGGAGGTAGAAGCAGCACCGAAATGGAGCGTCCTTGGAAATAATTCCCAGCAGGCTACGCAGCCATCCGTTTGCCAAGGAAAAGACTTTACAAAGAAATATTTTTCTGCCCTTAAATGGAATAGGAGTCTCTCTCTGCAGGGAGCTGTTCGATGGTTTTGTATGTGGAGAAATCCCAGAGGCCTCAATGTCCACCAGAAACGCTCCCAGAACCAAATCCTTTACTTTTTTTGGGGGGGTGAAACTAATCAAAGAAATGCTTGAAAACTGCCTGGCCTGGGCTCACAGAGCAGCCAGACCCCAAGGAGGACATGTCACCATTTCAGTTTCTTAACCAGGCACTTGGGATTTCCAGGGAAAAGCACAGGCGCCGGGAAAAAGTCCTATCGTCCAGCGCAGGGATCTGCAATATCGCTAACTGCCCTGCCTGGTGATGCTAGAGGGAAACAACTGATGAGGAGGAGGATGATGATGTTGAAGAGACGCAGTGAAGACCTCCTGGGCAAGAGCCAAGCAAAAGGCAGCTCTCCACAGCCCTGCTCCATGAAGTGTTGGGACAAGCACAGGGTGACCCTCACGGTTTAGATGGTTTAGACAGAGCATTTTAACCTGACACTGCAAACCCTCTTTGCTCCGTGAAACCATCATTTCCAAGACCCCATCACCAAACCAGAAGGCAGCACGGAGGTGCCCCATGCAACCCTCAAAGCAAGCCTATCACCCACCAGACCAGGGCAACCATTGCTTCCTCTATCTGCTCCTTGAAAGCTGCCAAGGAGGGAGAAGATCCTACATCCTTCATCTGGTTTCCCCCTCATGAGATTAGACTTTGGCCAGGTCCTGCTGACATAGCAGCTCTCCAGTCCCTTGCCAGAGCCACCCGTGTTCATGGCCTAGATGTCCTACAACTGCTGTAGGCTGTAGCTCTGCTGTGACAAGGGTCCAGGACTGGACTGCAAACAGATACTCCTGTCTGTATATATAAGAGCTCTGCAATATTTTCATTTACATTCTCTAATCCCCACTAAAACCAATTTTGCCACCATGCTGGCTTTGGAGAAGGTCAGGAATTTTCTGTTCAGAGTTATTTGCTGAGATGGCGACAAATTTCCTGCAGGAAAATCACATCAGCTTTCTTTCCTCCATACCTTCCCAAATATCATTTTCCACTGGGAAAAATGAAACGGTTTCCCCCTCAGAGAGGCATCAGGCAAGACACATGCTTCTTCAAATGTGTTTTGGGAATCACCTGCCCACATGAGACAGGGACAGACCTGAAGCTCCCAAGAAAGGGTCAGAGAAATGTATTCAAATGTGGCAGTGGAGCTCCAACAGCCCAAACACTCCTACTTTAGAAAAGCTGAAATGTTTTATTTCAATACTGTTATGTAAACACTTTTCAGGATTTCTTCTTGGTGGAATATTTCACCATCTCCACATTTTTTACCATCTGGAACCAAACCGGAAGTTTCTTCCAAGTGAGACCTACCTGACTCCGGGGAAGCCACTGGCTATGGCTGTGGTATCTCCTCAAGACCTACTCCGCTGCCTTCCTTCAGCAGGCATTAGAGCTAGCAGAGCGTGTGAGGAGCACACCAAGCCTGCGTGTTTCTCTCTGGGCCATTCTGCTCCTGCCACTGCAGTACATGAGTCCCAAATTGACCAGGGCCTCCACTTTGCTCTATTTTTCCCCCCTTCTAGATTTTATTGTTCCTGAATAAAGATTTTGCCTATTCTCTGCTATTCCTCTGCTAAAGGATCCCCACCAGTCCGCATGGCTCCCCTGCTCCTCTCTCTAGGAAGCTGTCTCAGCCCTTGGTGTCCTTGTCACCTCACAGTACTTCCCTTTCCCTTTTGCATGGAGAGAAGCTGTGATCTGCCAACAAAGAATGAAGCTCCAGTGGGGAGAAGAGAGGGCCGGAGGGTCTTTTCATTGCCAAGACCCACAACGCTCCAAGCAGCCCTTCTCTGCTGCACACCCGTACTCACCTCCATCCACATCCCTGAGGGCACGTGGCCGTAGCAAAAGCTTTTACTCATCTCAGGCTCAGCTGAGACTGTGGCACCTCACAGGGTGCCATATCTTGAGAAGCCCAACGGAGTCACGCTCCCCTGCGCAAAGCACCTCCAGTAAACTTTAACAGGAAAGGCAACAGACGGGAGAGGCAGAAGTGATTCATTGACGAGGCATTAACTACCTCCTTAGACCAGAGCTTCGCATCGACCACATTTCAGCAGGGCTCCCTTTAATTTTCCACCTGGATTAGCTGCCTGACTGCCCCCCGCCGAGGAGGAGCCGCTCATCTCGAGCAAGGCCCCACGCGTGGGCTTTGCCACGTTCCTCTCGCACTGCCCTAGCGAGCTCACCTCAGCACGGCGCCTCCTCCCCTGCAGCAGCGCTCCCTTCCAACGGCCACCTGGAAGGAGCTGCAGCTGCTGCGAGGGCTCCCCTACACACGCTTTGGAGAGAGGCGCCGATGAGACGGAGGCTCCACGCGCACGGGGAAGGGGCGCTCCGGAGCGGTGGCGTCACAGGCGCCGCGGGCGCCGCGCGGGCACGAGGGCCGTGTCCCCGCAGGGCTGGATGTCGGCGCCCGAGGATGTGCGCGCAGCATGGGGGGCCAAGCGGAGGGGAGCGCCAGGGCAGCACAGCCAGGCCTGGAGGAGGAGGACGAGGAGGAGGAGGCGGCACATGAATCCATTCCAGCTGCCCGTGCTGGCTCAGGCCTGAGACGAAGCCAGAAAATACGGAAAGAGGAACTTCACTCCCCCTCTCCTCCCAGCAACGAGGAACAGCACCCTAAGCATGGAGCTGGGGCGGGAGCGGCGGGGGGGCCCGCGTCAGCTCCGCCGCGGCGGGGCGCATTCCAGCCCGCGCGGATTAGCCCTTACATAAATACTCGCTCCATTAATGGAGTGTTCCCTTGGTTTGGTTTAGATTACCGGGCTCTGTTGTAAGCACGTCACAAGCCCACAAAAGTCACTGACATAAACAAGGCTTCAGTCAATGAGGCCCAAGATGGTCGCTTTGCAAGTGGCAGCGTGCACGTCCCAAGCGCATCAGGGTCCCTGCGGCACCAGGGCTGGGGAGGGCACAGGTAACGGCTGCATCCTCTGCGCTGGGCCGTGCTAGGTAGTGAGGACAGAGCCTTTCCAAGCAAGGAGGATCTCCCGCTCCACGACTCGGAGCGGCGTCTCGAGACAAAGCGAATGCTGGAGCAGGCAGGAAAAGCGAGGAGAGGAGCAGTGTTTGGGAAAACAAAGTCGAGCAAGGGCTGAGGACGATGTGGGGGAGCCGCTCCGGAGGCAAGGCTGGAACGAGGAAGTGAGCGAAAGAAAGAAAGAAGCCAAGGGAGCAGATGGGAGATTGCAACAGAGAGGCCGGCTCGCAGGGCCGGGGCTGGGGCCTGAGGTCATGCACAGTCATGTCATTCCTTGGAGCTTTCCTCCCAGCTCCTTCAGACCGGACATTTCTTAAAGGAGGGAGGGAAGCACAAGTACACGGGAAGCAACCCCGAACCACAGGCGGTTCCCGACAAGATAGAGGGAAGTCTACACAGCTACTATGAGGAGAAGTGGCTGCACAGGGAAACCTTATTGACTTTCAGGAAAGGTTCCTGCTAAGATTTGTCCCCGAGGGCGTCCAGCCCTGCTTGTGCCACCCCTTCCCTCCCTACCTCCCACCCTGGCTGCCCCCTGCCCGTGCCTGGATTCCCCCCGCAGTCCCCTGGGACGATGCGGCTGGTGACGCCAGCAGCGTTTCCACAGCCAACCCCACTGTGCCGGGAGCTGCGCTGGAGGAGCTGGCACGGGGATTGGGAACAAGGGCTGCGGGCCGGATTCCCTGGAGCCGCTCCGCTACCAAATAAGGCCTCCATCTACTCTTTTACATGCCGTTCTTGCCCAGCCGTAGCTATGCGACCTCTTTTCCAAGGGCTCTACCCCTGGCAGGCTCCTCGGTCGGGACCCCCCCAGCTCGCTTACGCCAGCGAGCGGCAGCTACGGGGCGAGCGGGGCTGGAGAAAGAGGGAAGGGGAAGATGCCCCACGCATCTTGCCCACTGCCGAGAGCCATGGGACCGACTCCTGCGAGGGCCAGAAAGAGAAAGCAGCACAAGGCAGACCTATCCAAAGGCAGCGTTAGGTTCTGTTTCAGGATCCGGGCCCCGGTCGTGCTGAAAGCAGGGCCTGTCCCACCTCACAGCATGGCCTTTAACCCACGGAAACCCGTGGGTTTCTCTGCCCACAAGCCCTGGCCTCCCACCTGACTGCGGAGGCCGCAAGACAGGGGCTGCTTCTCCCTCCTCTGCGGGTGAAACACAGCGACGGGGGGAGCAAAGCTCAAAGCAGAGCCCTCCGGCTGGCCCCGGGGACGGGGAGAGCGACGTGCGCGCGGCCCAGCAGCGAGTGGGCCCCCTCCTCCAACGCTCCTGAGCGCTTCCCGCCAGGGCCGGTGGGCCCGGGCCCAGCCTCAAGCCCTGCTCGCGCGCGGACGCGGCCCCACCGTCCGTCCTCCCCCTCCAACACCCACCCGGCGCGGATATGCCCCGATTTTCCCGGTGCTCCCGAGGCACCTGCTGCCATCACGCCTCTCCGAGCAAGACCAAGCCATAGGTAGGGACTCAGCACCACTTTCTCCTAACACACCTTCAGAGAGGGGCTCCAGCCTCTTCATCCTCCTCTTTGGCCCAAACAGGGCCAAGTCCCGAAGCAGTTTCCTTTGCCTGCGACCATGCTGAGTGTCACAAGGTGACACCTGCTTGGGGACCAAGGGAAACAGGCCCTCCTGCCACAAGGGTCTCACCAAATCACGGATCTCTGAATCACGGCACGGGGTTGAGTAGCATCAGTTTGCCCCTGCCCCAGGAGACTGCCTAATGCTCACAGGTCTTCAGCCGGATAATTCAACTTTATTGGACCAACACGGCTAAAAGCTCCTGTCAGATGCTGCTGGAAATCACCCCGCTTCACATCTCCAGTGCTGTTTCAGGCACTCCCTTCAACTTTCCAGCAGCACCAACCGCTACTCCCCACACCCTGATCTCTGTGGGACCTTGCAGAAAAAAAAAAAAAAAAACCCAGCGACATAGGGAAAAACCCAAATCCAGATCTCCCAAATTCCCCTTGCAGAACTTTTTACCGAGCCAAGAAAAAAACCCTGCCCCTTGTCACGATCGCGGCGTTTTGCAGCCCGCAGCTGCCTCCTGCTCTGCTCAGGACCTGGTGGAGGAGCCGGCTTTAGCATTGCCCTGACGCCCTGACTTTGGGAAGTTTCGTGCCCGCGCTCCCCTTTGGATGGAGACCTAACATCGGCACCGGCAGCGCGCGGGCGGATGTGCGACGTCCGCCTTGCCGCGTTTATCTGCCAGCCAAAAAAAAAGAAAAAAGTCCAGGGGAAACCGCGAAAACCCACCTGGGTGGCGGCTGGGGGAAGATCTTAGGCGGCTGCTGCTGCCCTCCCAAAGCCCAAGGTCACGGGCGAAACCAGGAACTTCAGAGGCGCCACAGAGGAACAAAAACACCCTCAACACCCTCTTCCCAAGCGCGGGTCGCGCGTCCCGGCGCGGCGGGGCCGGGACAACTTCGGAGCGGGGCCGCGAGGAGCCGCGCGGCGCCCAGA